AATTTAAGATTGTTTTCAGTAGAATGAATGATATTTAAAAATGATTTATCAATTTCATTTATGATTGAGGATAAATGTTGACATCATAATTCATATATGGCATGAAAGATGTCAAAAGATGGGATGTTAATTTCGGTATTGTACTCAAACATTTTGGCAGCTTGATCTTTGATCTTTTTACTGTTAGCCATTGGGGGTTTGATTTGCTGACCTGAACTGACCGGTTGACCTGACTCAGGACACTGGTCAAGCTTGATCTGATTCAATAGAAAATGACCGGTTTAATGGTCAGTGTGTACAGGAATTCAATTGGTCAGCAGATATATTTGAACTTGATCAAGGCTTGTTTAAGAAGTTCAACAGAATCCTAAACACGAAATTAGCCATCCATTGAATTATTGATCAGTTGATTGCCTTTGGTTATTTGAGCTTGACCATGAAGTGACCAAGCATGTCTGACTTTTTTCACCTTTCCCAGGACAAGTCTGGTAGTTTGTCATTGGGCGATGAATTACACCTGTCGATGTTTGAAGTCAATGTTTGCGTCGGTCACATGTTTAAAGAAATACTGACCACAGGTCAAACTCAGCCCATTTTTTCACAGGACATTTTCCATGGGTCATTTCCTGTCAGGTGAAGAAACAAATTAATTAATTTGTGAAAATTGATATTTGGTGCCATTTTTTTGTATCAATCATTAGTAAAATGTGACAAGTTTGATAAACAATTTAAAATTTGATAATTGAAAACAAATTCAGCCAGACTAGTGTATTCCACATTTCAATATCGGGGTCATTTGGGCAAAAGTACCAATTTATTATGATTAAAAATGACTAATCATATAAAATATTTTATTTAATTTTTTTGGGGGAGGTGGGGGCTAAAAATATGGTAATTTTACTTTTTGCTAAAAATAACGTTAGTTTTTTTTGTTACAGTTACAGTAGAAGTATGGTATCAAAGTTTTTAGGATGGGTTTTGGAGGGGGGGGGGTATTTTGGCATTTTGTGGGTTAATGAGTGGTCAAAACTTTATTAAAATATATTTAAAATCAATTTGTAAATTGGTCTTTTATACTTCAATGTCCACTATATTAGTGTCTAAATAATAATTGTACTATTTAAAATGTTGGGGAGTTGGATGGCCGAATGGTTAGCACGTGTGCGCTGTATCATAAGGTCTGTCATTGAGTCAACTGGCGTGGTTTCGATTCCCCGGTTGTATGTGACAAGGAGTAAGGTCGTCTGTCCAACCTCGTGGGTTTTCTCTGGGTCCTCCGGTTTCCTCCCACTGCTAAAGACCAATTGAACCATATGTTAGTCCCAAAATGACCTAGTTTGTGTCAATGGGAGGTTAAACCCTCTTTCGTTCTCTCTCTCTCTCTCTCTTTCCGACTGCCCTGTTAAATCTGTAAACCCAATGATGAGTAGGGGAAAGGTATAATAGCCTTGATTGGGTATCGGACATTTAAACACGCATTATTTAAGAGCTAAATCTGTATATTGCAGGACTTTCTTTAGGCCTGAAATGTTATCTAAATTATTAATTAGACATTAATTAACATGAAAAGACCATACTGGTAATCAACTCAAACTCCTTATTTTTTGGGGCCATTAACTGTCAAACCAGGTACTATTTTTTTTGGCCTGACGCACATGTTGTGTGTAGAAATCATGACCGATAGCAAAAGTATATAATGTAACCCTAAACTCTGCTATTATTTTTATTGGCCTGACACATGTGTTGTGTGTAGGTATAATGACCAGTAACAAAGGTAGGCTCTATATAATGTCATGTGATCGATATCCAGACATGTTTATTGACGTACAATATATGTATATTTATAATGAATTGTCTAGTCACTCGGCGTAGTACCGTAGAACAAGTGATCCTACATGGTGCTATTGAATTACTATAGAACTAACGATGATCGGCACAATTAAAACTGTAATGTAGATCAAGCAACTTGGCGTAGTACTGTAAAACTAGTGATCGTTGCAACTTGATCATACATGGGGCTATTAAACTACTGTAGAACTAACGATGATCGGCACAATTAAAACTGTACTGTAGATCAAGCGACTTGGCGTAGTACTGTAAAACTAGTGATCGTTGCAACTTGATCGTACATATTGAACTAACACTAGTAAATGAAGATCAAGCGATCATCCGAACTTGATCCCACGTGGTCATTTGTCATATTGATCTCAACTCTACTAACGGGGATTAAATTTTTTATATTTAACTTCTGATATACATGTAATAATTATCACTGTCTACCTGTTGTGTTAATCATTGGTTTAGGTGTTTGGTACAATGTTGTCCCAAAATAACTTAGTTTGTGTTGAGTGGACTCTTAATTCTCTCTCTCTCTGTAATCTGATCTCTCTCTCTCTCTCTCTTTCTCCCTCCTCTCTCTCTCTCTCTCTCTGTAATCTGATCTCTCTCACTCTTTCTCCCTCCTCTCTCTCTCTCTCTGTAATCTGACCCCCCTCTCTCTCTCTCTTTCTCTCACTCTCTCTGTAATCTGACACCCCTCTCAACTCTCTCTGTAATCTGACACCTCTCTCTCTCTCTCTCTCTCATCTCTCCCTCTCTCTCTCTCTCTCTCTCTCTGTAATCTGATTCACCATTGTTGATCCCCCCCTGGAATTATTTTACAATCCTGGAAATTAAGCACCTGTCACAGACATTGTCAGGAATAATTAATGGTCTGCTGTCATTTTATATAGCACAGATTTGTCTTGTATCAATTTTGATCAACATACATATTCGTACACAAAGTTCATAATGTTGGTTGCTAGTTCGATAACAGTAGTGCCTGATATTTTGATCGGAACAACTAAAATCACTGCTTTAAGGCCTACAATGGTGACTCTGCTTGGAGATTGATACATATATGTACTAGGTAACTGTGACTTCGGAAGTCATTGATCTGATTATCCAGTGTTTCATACAACTGAGTATGCTGACTTTCTGGACAATCTGATAACACTTCCCATCCCATTATTTTGTAAGGGGGGGGGGGGGCCGAATGTATCATAAGGCCTGTCATTGATCTGATTATCCAGTGTTTCATACAACTGAGTATGCTGACTTTCTGGACAATCTGATAACACTTCCCATTCCATTATTTTGTAAGGGGTGGGTGGCCGAATGTATCATAAGGCCTGTCATTGAGTCAACTGGCATGGTTTCGATTCCCCGGTTATACGTGACAAGGAGTAGGGTTGCCTGTCCCACCTCGTGGGTTTTCTCCGGGTCCTCCGGTTTCCTCCCACTGCTAAAGACCCCTACGCGCAAGCAAATTATTGAACTAAAATTAAACCATATGGTATGTTAGTCCCGAAATGACCTAGTCTAGTCGAGTGGACGTTAAACCCCATTTCTCTCTCTCTCCCATTCATTTGTAAAGTTCATAGAAACTCATGTTTTTATAATTATGTACATGAAGTGCCTTTAAATAAAGATTGTTCTGTCATACCCAGGAGGCAGTAGTGGGGTAGCAGTGTCCTCCATTAAAATGAGGGTAATTTCGAAGAGTAATTTCTTTATAAATGTCGTGTAAAGGAAGAAGATATCTAACACAAAAAATAGTGCATTACATTGTCATTGAAACAAACAATATAATTTCAGTAATTTAAAAAACAAAAAAAATTAAAATTTACAACCGAACAGATCCAACTTATCTGTGGCACACTTGCAAGGGCATCGTCTTCTGTCAAATTCAAAACATCCAATTTCAAATTCAGAACAGATGGAAGTTTTTATTTGATCTGTAGGCCACACTATCATATTAAGAAAAACAGATCTCGATTTATTTTGCAGGATGCCTTAAAAACATGCTATTATTTACATGCTCAAGAAAGAAAATTGTTAGGTTTAAAGTAAATTTTTTGTTCGATTAAAACAAAATATCCCTATTCTGATTCTTGTTATTTGCAAATTTTTTGTTTTTGTTTTCTTAGAGGAATTTATTTTTTTAGTTGTATTATGCCAGAGTATACAATAGATATATTTTGGTCTTAAGTTTCTTTCGTATAGTCACGACCACTTACATGAAAAACTATGTTAAAACCCCTGTGGCCTTCCTCCTTAAACTTCTGCTTGGATTTATAGATTAATCGTAATAGGCTGTTTTAAATTGAACTGCAACTTGTAGGTGGGTGGCCAAGTGGTCAAATGAGTGCACTTTAGATCATAAGGTCTGTGTGTTTGTGAAAAAGAGTAAGGTGGCTCTTCTCTTGTTTCCTCCCACTACTAAAAGATTCTTGCAATAAAGATTTTATCATAATATGTTAGTCACGAAATAGCCTAGTTTGTGTCGAGTGGATGTTAAACTCTTGCTCTCTCTCTCTCTCTCTTTCTTTCTAGGAGGGGGTGGGGGTGGATGGTGAATGGTTAGCATTTATCATAAGGCCTGTCATTTAGTCAACTAGCATGGTTTCGATTCCCCGGTTGTATACGTGACAAGGAGTAGGGTTGTCTATCCAGCCTCTTGGGTTTTGTCCGGGCCCTCCGGTTTCCTCCCACTGCTAAAGACACCTACGCGCGAGACAATTATTGAAAAAAAATGGAGGAAGAGAGTTGCAGCAGTTTATTACACCCAAGGGCCTTTCCCAAATTTAGTCTTGAGAAATTATATCAGGGCCCTTATTCACGAAAACTTAAACTAAGATAGAATCTAAATTTGAAGAAATAATGCAATTCGATTGGCTGACCAATATGCAAATTGGATAGATGCAAATTGATTTTACTGGTCAGCCAATCGAATTGCAGTATTTCTTAAAATTTCGATTTTATCTTAGTTTAAGTTTTCAGGAATTTTGATTTTTTTTCTTTGGTTTTTTTGGGTTTTTTTTTAGAAGTAGACCAAAGATGTTCTTCAGGAATTTTGATTTTTTTTCTTTTGTTTGTATTTTTCTAGTGGAAGAGGACAACGATTTATTGGTCTATGTTTTACATGAATTTTGATTTTTTCTTTTGTTTATATTTTTCAGTGGAAGAGGACAAAGATTTATTGGTCTGTGGAGACTGCCAAACTACATTTCCCCTGCATGACATCCTAAAATTTATACGGCACAAAGTCCATAGATGCAACAAAGAAAACATCGATGCATTGGACGACGCTGAATTCGACGATGAAGGGGCAGAACCGGAGATGTTGTTGGCCCGAATTGCTTCGAAACAGCAGAGCATTTCGGCCCCGATTAATCGGAAAGAAGCCCTGGACACACCCTCTCCACTGCCGTCCAAACCAACTACAAAAGAGATTAACGCGTTGGAAGAAGAAAATATAGAAGATGACGAAAAAACAGAAGAGAATTTCAAGGAACGAATTCCGCTGAAACCTAAACAGGTGGACGCTGAAACAAACACATCGTTAACAGGTTAGTTTATACTTTCGTTACATTTTGTCCATCTAATGTAAGGTCCTAAGGTCTGGCATTGAGTCAGGTGGTGTGGTTTCGAATCCCCGCTTGTATGTGACAAGGTGTAGGGTTGCCTGTCCAACCTTGTGGATTTTCACTGGGTCCTCTGGTTTCCTCCAACTGCTAAAGAACCCTGCAGGCAAGCAAATTACTGATATAAAATTGAACCATGTGTTAGTCTCTAAATGACCTAGTTTGTGTCGAGTGGACATTAAACCTCATTTCTCTCTCCCTCCAAAGCATTGTGTGCACTTTAGATCATAAGTTCTGCCATTAAATCAAGTAGCGTGGTTTCAATCCCATGCCTGTTGTACAAGCAGTGGTGTCACCTTCCATACCTCGTGGGTTTTCTCCGGGTCCTCTGGTTTCCTACCACTATTAAACGACCCTTATTCGCAAGTTTGTGTTCATTGGACTTTAAACCCCATCCCATTCAACCAGAAAATATGTCCTACGTGAAAGTTTTTAGACAGGTGAGAAATGGTATCACAGAAAGAAAATATTATATGTTTCATTGCTTTGATTAAAATTCTATATCTTTTTCTCATCTGCGATGTAATGTCAATCAATATACCAAACATTTACCTGTTCACTCATGTTCTACCTGATTTTGTTGAAATGTAAGTCAGTGGGTCAGATGAAAAAGTAAAGTGACCAGAACATGAAATAAAAATAGTTGTTGGATGTAAAAAACCTACATAACATTACTGGTTAGGGTGTAAAGATACTGAGGTTATATTGTTGTTGTTTGGTTTTGAGGGGGTTGGATGGCCGAATGATAAGCACGTGCATGCTGTTTATTCAAATAAAATTAAACCACGTTAATCCCGAAATGACCTAGTTTGTGTCGAGTGGAGGTTAAACCCTATCTCTCTCTCCCTCTCTCTCTCTCCCCATCCCACCCACACTCAAAGCTAAAATAAGAAAGATATTGGACAGTGTCCAGTTACTATCAATATATACTAGCATATACCTTATTCACTGTTTACACAGAAGTGACCTTTTTATATCAATATACCAAGCTAGGTTAGGTTGGTCTGTACAGATGGTGGTCTCGCTGGTCAAGTTATCAAAACACAACATCTACAACTGAAATGGGGTTTATCATCCTACATTTCTGCAATGACTGGACTAATAAAGACTAACTTGATGTCTAGAACTTTACTATTTAATTTCCTGATATTGTGGAGTTTATAGTCTTCCGTTTCTGCAACGACCAAGCTAATGAAAACGGAATCTAGACGTCCAGAACTTGGCTATTTAATTTCACGATATTGTGGGGTTTCTGCAATGACTGGGCTAATGAAGACAGAAATGAAATGGAGTTTTAACGTCCTACTGTTCTTCTCCGAGCTGGGCTAATGAAGACGGGCATACGCCAGACAGTGTGCTATGGGGGAAATTTTGCCCTGATAGCGGCACTCTTATATCGAATTCCAACTGTCAAGGGATCTTTTACGTGCACGCCAATGTATACACGGGACCACGGTTTTTCATACCATCCGAACGACTAGACAGCTGCCCTTGTCAGGCCCTTCGTCCTGCATCACTGACAAGGGGGAATCACACCAGAAAATCTGGATGAACTGTCTCGGCCAATGCAGGGATCGAACACCCGACCTCCAGGCTAGCGACCAGGGTCTTACCCACTTAGCCACCGTGACCCCCATGAAGATAGACTTGACGTCTAGAACCTGGCTATTTAATTTCATGATTTTGTGCAGTTTAACGTCCTACGTCGTACATTTCTGCCCTGGACATTTGGCTATTTGATATAATGATATTGATGGAAATAGTTGCCATTATATGGTTATGAATTAAATAATTTCATATCTATTATGTTGAATACAACAGCCAGGTGTGAATTATGGCTAGTTAGACCTGATTAAGTTACCTGTTGTTATAGGTAATAAAAGGTTATACCTGTATAAATTTCACCTGTACATTAAAAAACTAATATCACATTTTAATGGTGTCTTGCTTCTTAATAAAACAGGTGTGGAAAGGATTTTTTTATTTCTAAGTATTCTTGATTTAACGTGACTGGTCCTTTACATGTTTTGACAGAAATGTTATATGAAATATGGTTGTCATTGGTCCTTATCTTACCTTTTAAATGTTGTCATTGGTCCTTATCTTACCTGTTACATGTTGTCATTGGTCCTTATCTTACTTGTTACATGTTGTCATTGGTCCTTATCTTACCTGTTACATGTTGTCATTGGTCCTGGTCTTACTTGTTACATGTTGTCATTGGTCCTTATCTTACCTGTTACATGTTGTCATTGGTCCTTATCTTACCTGTTACATGTTGTCATTGGTCCTTGTCTTACTTGTTACATGTTGTCATTGGTCCTTATCTTATCTGTTACATGTTGTCATTGGTCCTTATCTTACCTGTTACATGTTGTCATTGGTCCTTATCTTACCTGTTACATGTTGTCATTGGTCCTTATCTTATCTGTTACATGTTGTCATTGGTCCTTGTATTACCTGTTACATGTTGTCATTGGTCCTTGTATTACCTGTTACATGTTGTCATTGGTTCTTATCTTACATGTAAGAACACGAGGGAACATTGGACAATTTTCATACCAATCCCTATGTTTATTTCTAAGTATACTTGATTTAAAATAACTGATGAAATTCCTGGTTAGATCAGAGTGGTCGTCATTGGTCCTTATCTGACATGGGAAGCATTGGACTTTATCTGACATGGGAAGCATTGGGCTTTATCTGGCGTGGAAAGCATTGAGCCTTAACTGACATGGGAAGCATAGGGCCTTATCTGACATGTTTTAGTCCTGAAATGATCTAGTTTGTGTTCAGTGGAGGTTAAACCCCATCTCTCTCTCTCTCTCTCTCTCTCAGCAAATTTAAATGAAAAATATGTCATATTTTTGGTGAATTCTGTCCCAAAGCACTTGTAATATTTTAAGTTGACAGACAATAAAATAGATTTATATATTAAAGTATATTTAAGGTATATATATAACTTCCTGTATCAATCTATGACTGACATGAACTGGCCTTGCAGGTATATGTTGTTAATGTCCTGCACAAAATACACATCCCCAGCCAATTAACTCTTTAAATTCATACGACTGATCGTGACACAATAATAAAATGTTGGATAAAATAAAAATTACAAAGGAATACTAAAAAAAAAAAATTACAAAGGAATACTAAAAAAAAAAAATTACAAAAGAAGACTGTGGCTTGAAACAATCCAAATGTCATAAATTATGACCAAATGTCACCTCATCGGCATTTTGGGGGGCGGATTTATTTTAGCAAAGTTGTAAATGTAAGCGAACTTCAAGTCCGCAAAACTTTATGTAAGGCATGCATATACTGTCTCAAATAATGACGGATTGAATGTTTTTCTCTAGTTTTTTGGGGTTGTTTTTTTTTGCGCAAGGACATATTGTGTGATTGATAGTTGTGTACAGAAGATGGATATCACCATTCATCATAATTTGATATTAAACTGTTTATTCTTGTTTTATGGTCATGATCTGTCTGCATCGACATGTTTCAACATGGGTTGTCCTTTTAAAATGGGGAGTAGGGTCGCCTGTCAAACCTGGAAGGTTTTGTCCAGGTTCTCTGCTTTCCTCCCACACATGTAAAGTAAATTATTGGAATAAATTTGAACCATATGTTAGTCCCAAACTTACCTAGCTTGTGTCGTGAGGATGTTAAACCTCATTTCTCTTGTCATATAAAGTTCAAAACAATATCATGGCCTTACCGATATACCATCCAGCATATTTCTAAACTTAACTGCTTTGTATTGGAGGGGGGGGGGGAAGTGGATAGCCGGATGGTTAGCGTCGTTTGTTCAACCGCATGGATTTCCTCCCACTGCTAAAGACCCCTACGCGCAAGCGAATTATTGAAATAAAATTAAACCATATGTTAGTCCCGAAATGACCTAGTTTGTGTCAAGTGGATGTTAAACCCCATCTCTCTCTCTCTTTGTATGGGAAAGGATCAAAAATAAGTTATACATCAGTTTTCATTTATTTGTGAAGTGCACAGCATGGAAATATTGTTAGTTATAGATTTGTATACATAGGAAATCACCATGAATCGTGTGGAATGTTTGATGCTCAATAAAATAAATCATTCGCATTATTTTGGTATTAGAAATAATGAAAAATTCATATGAATATTAATACACATTGTTGAGAAGATGTCAAAATTTTAGCAAATATTTTATGAGAATCTTTCTTGTCAAATATTCTTTTTTTTTTTTTCAAAAATATTTTTATCCCCTACACAAGTTTTTAAGTTTGAATTCTTTGTACTATTCAAACGAGTCTTGAAAAGTAAGCTTATGCCTAATCTGTGGTTTAAAGTTAAATAGTTGGAATTTAAATAAAAGAAAGGGTTTAAGGGTTCTATATCCAGAGTATTTGGCAGACGGACAGAGAATGATTTATCTTGTCGTGAATTTGTACCAGAATTAGTGTGGGTTTTCTAAATGTTTTGCGTCAGGCCGATTACAAAAGACGTTTTTGAATAGACTTTAATTTGAGTTGAGCTTGTTGAAGATCGTTTTATTAGTCGTGAGTTCTTTGTCCACTGAGCTTAGTTATCGTGTAAGAAAGAAGGCAGGTCTTGGCAATGCTTGATTGCCCCTTTCTTGCAGCCAAACAAGGGGGATGGCTGGGTCACAGAAAGTTGTACTTTTGTCACCCGACTGCAGGCCAGTCTTCTTGCACACTCTTGATATTTTTTTCTTTAAGTCAGCCAATGAAATGTGAAAGATAAAGTCGAATATATTTTCTGCTCATTGAATGCGTCCCCTACACCTGCTTATTGAAAACACATACAGCTGGCCGGCAGACATTTTTCCCCTGGCTGGCCACGAACCACAATTGGTATAAAATGTCTCTATCCTTCATGACATTACAGTTTCTTTCTTATTAACATCTTCTGTGAAAAGACTA